CGGAGCTCCAGTTATCCAAGATCTGCATGCAATCAAAAGCTCGGATTGTGGTCGGAAAGGAGCAAAGTGTTGCGTCCAGTCGGGCCGCATGAGGTTTGTGATGTTGTGGGGCGGTGCTGGATCGGTTGCTTTGATACAAGAGATGCCGTTTCACCCGTCCGGCTGCCATGTCTCATGAATCACAAAGCGGCCTGCGATTCTCTTCCAGACACAGGCTGTTGAACGAATTTTGTTTGTTGCGTAGCTCTTTGTTGGAGCCTACATTTCTTTTGCTCGGTGTTCGGTGCCTCGGTGCCAGCTGGCGCTGATTTGCATGTCGTCGCTACTCACAGAACACCGTGCATTTTGCATAAGTCCGCAGCCAGCAGATGTTTTGGTTTTGGGATGCGACTTGATTTTACAGAGGACAGATGATGGTTTGAAGTGTTCTGACACTGCATAGATGCTCTATATCTCCCAGATTGTGCATGGATGCTGTTGAACAAGTTCGTTTGGAGTTTAGTTCAGATCATGAGTGAGGAAGGCACCAACCTTGTTGAACAATCCGGCGACGGCGGGTAATCAACTTTACATTTTGCCTTTTGTTGGGGGGTATTGTGCACGTGCTCCTGTGTGACTACACGTGTCGTGTTTCCCGCGCGACTTGCCAACCGGACTCTTCGTAAAATTTTTCAGGCAGCGACAGGGTGATTGTGGCGAGTAAAAAGTTCTGTTAAGACAACAGACATGCTATTGCTGAAAGACAGCTGCACGTGTCTTGCGTGGTCTTGCCAGAGCCTGCATTGGACTGATCATCATTGCCGTTGACGCTGCTTTTGTTGCTGCTTTGACCCGAAGCATTGGTGCTGTATCGGGAATGCTGAACGGCCCGTCCGGGCATAAAGAGCAAACAAAACACCTCTTCCTGTAGCAATTTCTCCGCAGCAGCAGCTAAAATCAAAGCCCCTTGCAGCAACAGCAAAACCNNCCCCCCCCCGCAGCAACAGCAACAAGTGCAGCAAAAATAACGCTCTTACCGCTGTATCCGATTGAAATGTGCTTGACTTTTTCCGACTCTCAGCTCCACTGGTCTCACGTTTGGTGTTGGCTGCGAACTTCCGGTTCGAAGGGGTGTTGGTAAGCTGGTCTGCCGACCCCCTGGCTCTCTGGCAGAGCCACAGACGCAGTGCAGGTGGACACAGCGAGCTGTGGTGTTTACGGCGACAGCACCATGTTCATTGTTCCGTACACAGGCGGGACAATGCTGCCCAGCATGGAGAGATCGGTGAATGGGATTCTGTTGGCCGTGGCCTGAACACATGTGCAAGTACATCGTGGCACATAGGCTGCATAGGTTACTGTCCATCATGCAGTAGCAAAAATCGTAGTCCGACATTTGAGGCTCTCGGCTTGACTGCCATGTGTCTCGTGACTGCACGTGCTCGGCTCAGCCTTCCATGCCTCAGCCGAAACGCTGTGCTTTACGGTGCTTTGAGCTCGCAATGTAATGTCAAGTTTCGTAGCTACACAATCGCGATTCCGTGACGTCCCAGGTCATGCGACCACCTTTGTGGTAACACCGGGCAGTCAGCGGCCGTCCCAGCTGCAGCGACTTGGAAATGCGGCGTCGCCCGTGGTCAGAATCCAAGCTTCTAAAGTGAATGCATCTCCTTCGATTCGTGCCATATCTTGTCTGTCAATGCAGCCACAGGTTCCTTACGCACCAGAGGAAGCAAGTGGTGTCAGTTCCTGAGTGATAAGACGAAAGGCTAAACTGATCAGTGTGATGCTTGCCGGCACAGGGTCCGATTTTTGCAACTTTTGGCCAACATTTGGGTGCGTTCCGCTGTTTCCCCTCAAGTGCGGAAGTGCTCGGCAACTGGCCGAGAGCCGCGAGAGCCAAGTGAGCCCAGAACGAGCAGAGCTCAGAAAGGCCCGAGCCACACGCTGATCTGCTCTTACTGGCTCTGACTTTCACAGAAGTTGCTTGCATGTACCCGCTTCAGGATGTATCGCTTGCTGCTGCTGTTGGGTGCCGCGCCTGCCGGTGGAAAGGCACCAGTCGAGGTTCCTGCATCTTAGCACGTGATCACATGATGCCGACAGCTTCTCATTCCGTGCAGGAGGGCACGCCTGCGGGGTGTACGATCACAGCGAAACTCTGTGGTGTGCTGAGTGACGGGCCTGGATGGGAAAATTGGATTCCTGTGGTTCTCGCAGGTCGCAATTTCCCGGAGTACCAGCAAAGGCAATTCCGAGATGACCTTGGGGAGTCTCATGTGCCTGGCCCAAATTTCAGCATGTGGCTGCGCACTTGCGATTGCAGGGGTTTTTGGGCTCTCGGATGTGTTGCACAGGTCGGTGCTGGTAGCAACGATGCTGCGTGTTTGAAAAGAGCAGAGGACGATGTGACATCCCACGGGAGTATGTGACATCCCACTGGAGTGACATTTGTTTTTCAAGCCCGTGAAAAGAATCGTGCATGTTGCAAGCTCGAATCAGTTGATAGGACCTTGTAGAATAAAAATCCTCTGTCGAAGGGTCGAACCTCTGACAGGACTTCCACCATTGGTGTGGCAACGGTGCCTCGGATGATGCGCAAGTTGCGGCAACTTACGACGGTGACCACCTCTCCCAGGCGGCTGGGCGTTCAGGCTTCGTCTCGAACCAAGGGTGGGAGCTACCAACTTTCAGGTCTATCATCCTGGCGCTTGTCATCCGGGATGGTCGCAGTGGGATGCCTTTTGCAGCTCGTCTCAGGTGTCCTCGTTGCCTAATGCCTGCCTAGCTGGTAAGCAAAAGTAGTTTTTACAACAGCCTGGCAGCTCTGAACCCTTGCGGTTCTCCCAGATGCGGAAAAGATCCTTCGATACGTGGGTTTGAGACGACTGACACGGTGTGAAGTCATGTGGTTGGCGACTCTCAGGCTACAAGCACTTCTGGGAGAAGAAAACCTGGTTCGAGGCATGTGCGGTGTCAGCAAGATCCGGCAGGACGACGTCAGGACGCGTGCACACCTGACGTTATCAGGCCGAGGCCGCATGCCGACAGTTCGGAGAAGGCTCCCACTTGGCCTCCATTCACTCTCGGGCTCCCTGGCTCAAGGGAGGGTACTGGTGCAATGATTCATGACAAGATGCGGTTTTGTGTGCATGATGCAGTGGAGGCTTCTTTGGTGTTCGTCGTACTTCTGCATCTAAGGCTGAGAACCGATTTATCTACACGCTGCATGAGTCCTAGTTTTGATTCCCCGTCTAGAGCACTGTAAACTTTGAGGGAACGATGTGCATTCTTCCTTTCGCAAGGACAAATGGGCTCAGTACCTGGATCGGCTACACCGACCTGGATCAAGACACACACTTTCAGTGGAGTGACAACACTCAGGACTGAATCAAGACACCAGCAGGTGAATTCCGACTGAGTTGAAACTGTGTGCAAGGACGATTTCTCGAATTTTGCCAAGAACTGTACCGGTCGCCCCTTAGCTGGGTTTTGTCTGCACCACGCTTGCGACATGACCTTGCAAGTAGCATGTTTGCTTCGGTGTCCGCATTGTCCAAGGTGAGCACGAGCCGGACTGTAAGCCAGAAGAGAGACAACAGCAGTGGTACGACTGGGAGGGGAATGACAGAGGGACTTTCGTGTGCAAGCGGACCTTTGGCTAAGTTTTTGGAGATAAGGTTTTGCCATAATTTTGGCTTTTGAATGGACCGTTATGTGAAGTCATGTATCTTTTTGAGCTTCGGTCTGTCCTGATCACTTCTTGCAGACCAGGAATGCCTTGCTTCCGATGGCACTGCTGCGCAACGTGTCGGCGAGGACGCTGCCATGTTAGAGCAGTCTGACCACGCAACGGTGGATCTCACAGAGCATCCAGTGGTGCGCCAGAGAGGACGCTGATTTCGCGAAGCTGGGGAGAGCTACTTCCGGCCCTGGCAGCGGGTGCTGGACCAAGGCCTCGCCGGGCCAACCGGCCATGGCTGGGGTCTGCCGTTCAGTTGCTCGTTTCAATGTGCAGGATCGGCCAGAACGACACTCTGCCGGCGGTCAAGGCTCCGTTCGGTGTCTTCTTCGACTCGCGGGGCTTTGCGCTGGTCTCTCTGTCGACCGTTTTCGAAGGTGGACGAAATCACCAAGCCGCCACTCCAAGAGCCCGCAGTGCCTTAGTTGCAGCAGCCGTATTCATTTGCTCATGAGAATGCCACATGTTTGAGCACTCCACAGCCCTGGCACCCTAGGCTTCAAAGTCTGCTCCCGAGCCCCGCCTGGCGTTGCCAAAGGTGCCTTTGGGATTTCTCAAAGTCCTGCAAGAAGCTTGGATGTTCTTTCCACTTCTGCATGAACCTATCGGCAGCCACGACTTTCTGTCTCGGTGCAGGGAACTTGGTTCTGAGCAGAGCCCTTGAAAGTCGACAGTAGGGTTTAGTCTGCAGAAGATTGCAGTGAAGACTCGCGCCGCAGGCCGGTTGTGTACATAGCTTGCACGGTAGAAAGGTCTTCCCAAACTTCGAACGAACAACTCCTTTGGCACGGGATATCAAAGTTACATCAGGACTGGAATGTACCAGAAGATCTGGAAGACTTCCCAAAGGTTGGCTCCTCCCCTGTTTCACCACCGACATCCACGTAGCACTTATTGCGTAAATCAGATACGGCTTCCGCCCCTTCGATCGTCCTTTGAAGCGTGATCCAAGCATTGGCCCCAATAAAACAGCAATGAAATTCAAGCGCTCGCCACCTACGCGCGTTAAGCGTGCTTCAAGCACCGCGTTTCGCAATTCAACATCGTGTCAGGGTCGGGTTTAGCGTTCGAGGATGTTGGGACTTGTGGACGAAAGTCGAGCTTTTAGGGTAGTAGAGTCTGGGGTTTAAGGAATGGTTCATTGTAGAAATAAAATTAGGGTTAAGGTTCAGGCGTTAGGGCTTTCGCGTGTCGGGGTTGAGGCTGGCTGCTTGGCTGTTCGTTATCTCAACAGTATATATAGGAGGCAGCTCCTCTTTTAGGCGCCTATAGGGCTGTTTTGGTTTAGTGAGCTCGAATCTGCAATGGTGTTGCTGCTAAGTTGAAAGGGCTTTTATGGTAGAAATACATGACCTCGTATGCTTCCGTTCTGTCTTTCGGCATGACGGCTTTATTTTCAGGCATCTTATAGTCTTGAGCCGCCGGACTGCAGGCGGATGCGCGTGAATGCCTGGTTCGCGCATCGTGAAAGCGTTAGAAGCCACACCAACCCCTTGTGCTCGAATCTATGGCCTTCTGTGCAGACGTTTTTGGCGCGGATCGATCGAGTCAATTCGCGTTTCGTTCTGCGCGCGAATCCATCCGTATCTGCAGTGCGCGAATCCTGGCGCGAATCTTTGTTTCAGTCCATGAATCCGGTCTTCCAGAGCGTGAAGGTTTCCGAGAATTCTTGAGTTGGAGAGCCGGTAAGTCGGAAAGCAGCTCAAGCACTGACCTTCCTCTCCTCCCTCACTCTCACAGATGCCACTAAGTTTTCGGCGGGCCACGGCCTTGGTGCGCTGGCCGCCGCCTCTGCCCTGGCTGCGCTGGCTGCACGCCGCCGGGGCGCAGGCCTCGGCCGACTCGGGCCTTTCAGCCTGTGGGAGCTGCCGCCTTTATGCCGCTGAGGTCGAAATGATGCCACTCCGCGAGCCTGCTAGTCACAATTGTCCCAAGCCTGCTCCGTCAAGTGAGATGTTCATGGCGTTTTCTTCCATCTTGCCAGGTTGTGATGCAGGTCAGGAAGCCCACGCGCTACGCCAAGCCCGGCTGCCAAGCATGCAACCACTAGCGATCTTCTCGAGCCGAAAGCATGGCAGGCCGGCGGCGAAAGGCATGAAGCCGATGATCCATCGAAAAGAGACCAGGCAATCTATGTATCAGCAGCTGATGGGTAGGAGTTGGGCTCGGTGCGTGATGCGCTGCTGTAGGGACACCGGATGCGGTCACAACAATGCTGATATTCATAGGGCCTATGCTGGTTTGACTGTTGGATATACAGCTTTCAGCACGATTTCCGTGTTCCGGAAGGGACGTCTTCAAAGATGGCTTCGAAGGCACGCATTTTGCTGCGCATGTCCACCGGTACGCAGCATGTTTTGCGTTTGATGTAGTGGTTGGGCCTGTGATTCTCATCTGGGGCAGTGCTCAGCTGTGATTGCTAGCTACCGATTGGCTTGACAAGGTGTTTGTAGCCTTGGACAGGTTGGGTTGCAAACAAGGACAAGAACATTGACTTCATGGAGAAGGCTGTGCTACGTTTTGTGGCTGCTGCAAGCTTGCCTCTGCCTCTCCGTCGTGTGCAGGTTGTCCGTCAGCAATTGCACGGCCGATTTCAGTTCCAGTTCGCGTGACTTGGCACAGCAACCTGCTCTTAAAGCCTTAGTCACGAAGCAAGAACGCTTTGCTTGTGAACTCCCAGAAAATCTCTCCGTCATGTGGCACCCAGGTCCCAGCATTTCTTCGATACTACGCCCATGTCATCCGGTATGTCCCGAAACAAGAGGGCAGGTGGCTCAGGTTGTCGCAACGTGTGTCGAAACACAACTACCTCTCCTGGGTCCCAGGATTTCGGTATCTACATGAACCACGACTACGATGACATGTTCTACGTGCGGAAGTGACCCTGGCTTGTTTGTTTGAGGAAGGGCTTCAGTCAACTGAACCCTTGCAGACACATTCGAATAACTTTAGGCATGTGATCTTTGTTGAGTCGGCGAGAAGGCTTGTATTGTGCGAGTATTTCTCCGGACATGTATACATGGTTGTTGCGAGGCTTGTGCAGTGAGAAGGGGTTCTCGTTTACCATTCACTTAGGTAGTAGAGAAACAGCTCAAAAAAGCGTTTTGGATCTTATCTGATCAAAACAAGCGTTCGATCGTTAAAGGGGGGCCACCCCACCCCCATACCAGCACACAAATGATTGATTCAGAGCCAACAAGGAAGAGGACCCCTCACTACAAGGTGGCAGCATTATTGTGACAGGCCCCCTTTGGTCCCCCCTTCCCCTCCTCACCTTAAGGTCCATCAGTTTGCGCAACATGGCAACTTGCATTTCGTCTTTACATGGCCCAGTGCGTCTACGCAGGTTTCAGGTCTGCTCCATCGCCTGTGCTTCCTGTGCGTTGCCCTAGCTTTCGCGGCCTCGTCTCAAGTTTGTGCCAGAGTGCAGGTTCTTGGAGCCGGCCAAATTCAAGAAGCTGGCGCTGGGAAACTGGGAGATGTCAGAAGCACAGAAGAACTCTTTGCTGTGGCTGCGGTGCAGTGATGTTACAGAGTATCGGTTTTCCTCCGGGAGCCACCCAGGCCGGAGAATGCCCCAAAAGTCGCCACCATGCAAGAGCTTGTAGCAGCAGGCTCGTGTTGGGACTTGCAGCTTTCGCGTATCGGAAGGGGATCACACAAGACTCTGGAGTTGCCCACTACTTGTAGCGATTGTGACGGAATCCACCCGGTGTCATTTCGGAGGAGTCCAGTACGGCCACAAGTCGAACAAGTCACCTCCCCAGCGCTGCATTACGATTGAGTTACTGAGCTTTGTATACCATTCTCCGAACCTTGGAATTTCAGTGCGTGTAACTGGCTCGGATCAACTTCAACTAAGGTGGAATCCGGCGATGCTGAAGTATCTCTATGCCGATAACGATGTCCAGTGCCAAGGTCTAGTCTTGAGTCGAATTTGATGTTCGTCTCAGGAAGTGCTGATAAAGTCATCGTTGTAATGGTGACGCATGAGCACTTGCCACACGTTAGCATATAAAGCTCGACTGTTCTCCTTGCAGTGCCTCGGCTGTCTTGCATTGTAACTTCTCCCATATCATGTGGCATCGCAGGTAGCTCAAACACCGCAGCCTGCACTTGTGTGACCCTTGCAACCTCCAGTCGCTGGATTGTTGCCAAGGGCACCCACATCTTCGATCTGGTGCAGACGGCAGCCAATCTTAACCGTGCCTGTCAGTGTCTTAATGTTCTTCTCAGAAGGCAAAAGTGTTCTGCAGTGTGCGCATGCAACTAATTCCACTTGAGCTCAGAAGATTTGTGCATCGATAGCCCGGCAGACAAGGCATACATTCTTGGTGTTGGTGTTTGCATCATCAGTCAGCACTTGACATAGGAAGCCGGTCAGATTCCTCATGTGCAAACCCGAACACCTGCCTCGAAGCGGCCAAATCTCTCCTGCTTGAGGCTACTACTGCATGGAGGCTGCCGCCAAAGGCGCTTCCTTCATCCTCATCGGAACGAAGGCGCGCAAGCTGCCACCAGAGCTCAAAGAAAGTAAAGCCTGAGACGAACCGACTTTGATGCCCACTCGTCGACTCGTCGCAGCGCTTCAGGAGCAGGCCCGCCCCATCGTGGCAAAGTACGGTGAGGAAGCTGGCATCCACTACACTGACATGAAGCTTCTTGGCAGTCACGATTGTTTGTCCTTGGAAGTTTGTTTCTTATTCCGGGTTTGGTTCGTACATGTAAAGCTGGAACGTCATAGAGCGCAGAAGCAGTTCGGTAGGCATTGCAGCGCCCGCTGGCAGTAGCTTGGGCTTGGGTCGTGGCCCGTGTGTTTGATATTTTCCACGGCTGAGACTTCTTGATGACACTTGACTTATGAGTTCAGGGTATTTCACAGCTGTGGGAGGTAGCCAGATCAGAGGTGTGAAACCAGAGCATAAGTTTCAACTGCAGATTGGTGTATCATCGTGGCAGGAAGGAACAGAAGATATAACAAGCTGTCACTCGTGTCACACATTTAAAAGTGCGCGCAATCTTCGGTGTAAAAAGGTTTGACCTGCACAGGACATCGGTGGTAACGGGAGGCAGATTTGAATATCTACAGTCTACGGCCGTCATAGAGTAGCCACCCGATCATGTCCTTCGAAAGGACTTTAACACCCTTGGGTCGTCGTCGCGTCAAGTGTGGTGAGCTAGAACCTACAGCTGAAGATGGCTCCAGCGAGCTGAGACTCATGTAGCCACGACCCCAGATCTAGATTCACCGTCCTCGTCCATCCACCCGTTGACCTTCAACCACAACAGTGCTGCGCGGTCAGGAGCCCTGAAAAAGCCGTTCCACGCGTCGTAAGCACCATTCCGGTTGGCTCTCAAGAAACTCTTGTATGTCTCGAACGACCACGAGGTTCGTGGGCGGCTTGCTGAGCAACTTCCCTGTGGTTCGGAAATCCGTCGAACTCATGCAGCAGCTTCGGGTCCACTCGGCATTCTGCCCCTGCGCCTTTGAGCGGATGTAGCCCGGGCAGAGATGTTGCCAGGAAGAGAAGGAGCAGGGTGCTTGGAATGTCTTCAACGAGTTCCAGCGCTTCAAGAATACGTGGGCGACCGAGATGTGATCATACAACTAACGCCAACGGTGTGCAATTCAATCAGCTCTGTCTCCCCGACCTTCTGCTGAGGTGCAAATTGGAGCGCCTTACGAAGAAGTACCATGGTGTTGAGGAGATGACCGGCTACCCGGACATCTGCATCTTCGTGGATGAGGACTGTGCCACTCTGTTCTGCTTTACTATGATCGGCTCTTGTCGAATGTGTGGGTCCTTTCAGAAAGTATCCTGCGCAGATCAAAGAGCGAAACCCCATCGCAGAGATGGTGCGTATCGGCGTGCCTTGCATTGGCCGCATCCTTGCCCGTGGACTCGTTTTTCCGAAGAGTTCTGTCTCGTGCAGCCGGACGACCAGCTCAGGCATGGTCGACTCCAACAACGATCCAAAGTTCGTGGACATTGCCATCCCTTCGAATACCTCGAACACGAAGCCACACGCTGAGTACATTTAAATTGCAACAAGCGACTCGCTTTCATTTGAACGGCGTCTGCCAGGTCCATTGACCTTGTCATTGGCAAGATCTGCGATGCGATCAAGAAGGGCAAGGTCCGACGCTCCGACTCGTGATGCGCTCCAAGCTTCACCATCTTCTGTCACGCACCTCGTAATGCCGGTCAGAAAGTTCATAACTGATATGATTGCAGAGTGACGGGCAGTACATCATCTGTGCTTAGCATGGTGCGATGCCCTGTTCAGTTGATGCATTCGCAAAGTTTGCCTGGGGAACGCGAGGACGCCGGGGTTCGACAAAGTGCATAGCCATGAGCAGGGGCTTGCGAGGTAGCATGGCGCAGCCCACTTGGTCCTTCCAATCTCCGTTCTGTTTGCTGCGACACAGAAAGTGTCAGGAGTTCCCCAAGGAGTGGGATCCCTGGATCCTTAGCAGAGCCCGGTGCTCAGGCTCTCTTTTTATCCATCGGATGTCTTCATCGCTGGTTCGGACCCAGGACCGCATGCGTTGCCTTCGTCGCCGTTCGAAGCGACAGGGCTGGATGAAGGCACCTGCAAACCAGCAGCGGGAAGAGCAAGTCTAGTTCTAGATATCTGTCCAAGGGTCCGATCTGAAAACTCTCAGACACGATTTGTTTCTCGAAGATGTGAACAACAATTGGATTGCGAAGGCGGTTTTGCATTGATAGGTCGGTTCGGCTGATTCTTTGCATGTGATTGGGGAAGGTCTGGCAGCCGCAAATGGTAGATTCACTTGAACGTCATGGGTCTTGGATTTGTCGCGGGACTTCTGGCTAGAGCTGTCAACCACGACCTAACTTGCTCTAAAGTGCAAGATCAAGCAGAAGAGATCCACATGCTTCTTTTTAGACATGCAACATCAACTTTCACATCAGCAACTTCTGAGCACTGTCAGCCGTGCATTGTTACACACAATACAAACATGAGTGAGTTTTCAGCCTGTACCGCGGATTCAACTGCAGCCGAAAGAGGCTTCTGTCGCAGAGACAAGGGAACACCGATTTTGACACTGGCAGGAGGAATGGTATGGTGCTAGGATGAGTGGCACGGTATTAGGGTAGGGTGGGCGTTGCGACTTATGCTGCCTTTGATGTGTTGGTGTGATACCGTATGCAGTTTGCCCAGGTGTGATCGGTGAGTTTTTTCGTGTTGTGCCATTCAGATGGGGTTTCCGAGCTGCGCCTTTCAGCCGAGACATCCGAGACTGTGTGTGAGGAGGAGATTGAGGATGAGGACCAGGACGTGGCCGACTCGACGATGGCGGTGGAGACCTATGCAACTCGTCGGCGTTTTCATCTTGGCACCTGTTCGGGACGACAACCTCTCCTCGTGCCTCCTGCGAACGTGGACATGGACCTGGACCTGGACAAGAGGAGGGCGCGCGTGCTTGCCTGTGCATCTTGAGATGACGTCCCTGTGCAAGGACCTCAAGGAGTTTGAACCGTCTGGGGAAGTGTGACGGGAACACCCCCATGGCCAGGCTATGTCCATGAGCCTGCATCCTCGCCGATCGCTTCTACCTCAACTTGGTCCTGGTGGACGAAATCTGCCTGCGGTGGACAGCCGTGATGGTCAAGCCAGGTGAATGGAAATGGATTGAAAATGGAGTGCCAGGAAAGTGGCCCAAGGAAGCTCGGCAACACCTGTCTGTGATCGTGATCTACAGGTGGCCCGAGATGACCGAGACCTACGTGACAGACCTGTCCGATCGCGAGAAGGGTGACATTCTTCGATGTCACTTGAACCTTGGCCACCCGAACACTCGAGAGTTTGTTCGGCTACTCAAAGCGGCAGGCTCTCGCCATGATGTCGCCCAGTATGTCCTGAGAGAGTTCCAGTGCCCTGGCTGTGTGAAAGAAAGGAAGCCACCTACCAGGTTGCCAGCTGCACACCCCGCACTTGCGACTTCAATGTTATCATCGGGGTGGATTTGCTGTTTGTGCACGGTCTTGGGTCTCGAGCGGAACATCCAGTGTTGAACATCACGTGCCTCGGCACCCTCTACAGCACCTTTGGATTGGGGGACCCTGTAACGATCGTCCCAGGTGACCTGGCTGGCCTTTACGAGGCTCTGGCTTCGGGTGTTTGGAGCTCCCCAGTACCTGATGTTTGATGAAGGAAGGGACTTCGCAGCAGCGACCTTTCAGGATGGTTTGGAGCGACGTGGAATTATCCCGTTGGAGGTGGCCCGGAACGCTCCATTCACGAATGGAGTGGTGGAGCGACGAGGTGGTCTCGTCAAGGAGGTGTACTATCGTACTCGAGAATTGGTGCAACCCACTACCTTGGAAGCGATCGAGATCGATCTTGGTTTTCCAAGTGAGTTGGAGTTTGCAGACCTTGACGAGCCGCATTGGTCGTCGAGGAGCGACTGCCAAAGCGGGCCCCTGCTATGTGATTCTTCAAGACGGGCACACTGTGTGGGTCACTCGACGGGGAGAAATCTGGAAATGTCACGTAAGCCAGGTCTTCAAGATGTCGGTGGTGGACCAGGCCGGCATCGAGGCCATCCCCGCTGAGCTTTTGCAACCGAAGCTCGCTTGAGATATGATAGTGAAAAGATGTTCCAGGTGATGATGCTCGCCTCTTTGACCAGCGGGTTAACCGCTCGCTGAAGTGCCCGGTAGTTGCCATGCAGCCGTTCTGCCTGCAAGCTGGAGACGGGCGACACCGCCGCTATGACGGCGAGGTTTATGGTTCGTTCGTGGCCCTGACGAAGCAGTCCGGGAAGGAGCTGAATGAGAAGAGCTTTACGACGGAGGAGATACGGATGTTCAATGCAGCCAAGAAGGTTGAGATTGAGAACCTGGAATGGAAATGTCATCAAATTTATCCGTGATCGCAAGGCGATGGAGAAGATTTGGAAGGAACTCCGTCGTTGCGTGATGCCGTCGCGGTTCGTGCTGACGAAGAAGTCTCGGAACTTGGAGAAGGTTGGAAAGCCGAGGCGAGGTGGATTCTTCTGGGACATAAGGACCCGGATGACATGGAGCTGGAGAGGTTCTCTCCGACACTAGCTGCGACGGTGTACTGCACCCTCCAGCTGATTGCGTCGCTGAAGTACCGCCTGTACATCATGGATGTGACCTCGGCTTTCGGTCAAAGTGATTTTCAACTCCGGAAACAAGGCCCTCTGTATGCCTCTCTCCCGACGTCCGGAATACCAGATGAGGAAGATTGGGTCCTCATTGACAACGGTTCCCACGGCGACGTGTGGTCTGGTCAACGCTCCTTCAGCGTAGACAGTGGTTCGAGTGTTGTTGTCCTCTCCTATAAGGAATTGGTTTTCGACCCGTGCCTCTACTACTTGCCCTACAACGCTTCTGAGATGGTGTCAAGTGATCAACGCGGATGTGCAGGACTGGTGTTGCTGGATGTGGATGATTTTGCGCAAGGTGGAAACGAACGACACCAACAGCTGATGCAGCAGCTGAAAGAACGTTTCCGTTTCGGGAATTGGCGTTGCCTGTATGGTGGACACGGCGAATACTTGGGCCGCACCATTCGCCAAGATGAGTCGCTCGAAGTCCGCATCGACATGCAGCGATACATTGAGGAGAAATTGCGACCTGTGATCCCCTCCCGTGAAAGGCTGCATCGAGGTGATGATGCCGTCCTCGATGACAAGGAGACCACTATGTTGCGGGGCACCTGGCGTCTCATTGCTGTGGGTCGGAAAAGAGTGCCGACCGGATGTTGGCACGGCGTGCGCTATGGCAATGTCTTGGGGCAACATTGGGCCTATCACGTGAAAGCTGTGAACAAGACGATCAACGAGTTGAAGAAGACGTCATCGGTGTACCCCCGATCCTCCCGATTGACCTGAAGCAAGGAATCTGGATGTCGATCCCGGGCGCTTCAGTGTACAACGACGCGGACAAGTCGCAGGGCGGCTTCATCATTGCCTTCGTCGACAAGGAGATCGAGAATGGTGGTTTGCAACCTTTCAGTCTGAACTCGTGGAAGAGCCACTGTGTGCGAAGGGTGGTTACGTCCTCCCTTGGAAGCGAAGCTCTCGCCATGGATGATGGTTTGGCCGAGATGGAGTGGGTGACAGCAATGTTCACGGAGGCTGTCATCCCGATCTCAACAGTGTCTGATGGCACTCGGTTCGGCGGCGATGAGTCTGTGGCAGTCGTCAAGCAGCGAGACCTTGAAAACCTCACCATTTTGGTGACTGATGCCAGACTTTTGTATGATTTGTTTCATCGGAGGAGTGGTGCCGCTGGTTTGTGCAGGAGGGCGCAAATTGACGTGTCAGTCACGTCCTCGTCAGCTAAAGCACTACGAGCCGAAACCCATTGGCTCCCTGGCATTTACATGTTATCTGATTACTTGACAACGAGAAACGGTTAGGAAATTCAGCCTTGATGCGTTTTGTGTTGAGACTCGGACTTTATGCCATCAAACATGATGGTCTAGAGCAACTGATCAACCTGGAATCTCCCCCGCATAAATGTGATGCCGTATGCAATTTGCCCAGGTGTGATCAGTGAGTTTTGTCGTGTCTTGTCAGTGAGTCTTGTCGTGTTGTGTCATCCAGATGGGGTTTCCCAGTTGCACGTTTCAGCTGAGACATCCGAGACTGCCGCAGGCACCTTGAGCACTCGAGAAAAGCAACTAGGTAGGTTCCTCTTGCGGCTTCGGCAATACAATTGGTATGTGGGAGGTAGGTAAGGCGCAGCGTAGCACTGGGTACGCTACTGTGCGTAGGGTGTGAAGGTCTGGGGAAGTGTTAATACCATGCTGACCAAGGGAATGAGTGATCGTGAGCACGGCAAGTGATTGTGTATGCTATTTACGGGCTCTTTATGTATGTGGAGAGAGCTCGACGACCAAAAGTGTAAGCGCGTGGTCGTCATGTGTGCTGACCGGTTGTACCAGACCTGTGCTGCGTGCCCGAAAGCAGCTTCGTACCCGCACGCACACCCGACAAATTTGGTCGAGTTTCTCCAAAAGTGGGTTGTGTTTGTGCCACGACTGGCTCGCGAGTATGATCGCAGGTGTTACTTTTCAACTGGCTGTGGTTTTGAGGTAGCTGAAAGGCTCTTTTTTGTGAAGCCGACTCTGCAGGGCATGTACGGAAGCTACGAGAAGCCGTGCGCTTGGCAAACACTGCCAGAGCATGTGGCAAGTGCAGCAACTTGCGTCTCCTCAGACTTGATAGCTGTGGGATGGGCATGCGGGCATGTGCTTGCACTTCGCTGGTAGTTTTCTGATGCTTGAATGACTGCCTGCACTTAGTTGGAAGAAGTGCCACCCGTGGGGCGCTATTCCGACCGTCGCACCGCACTGCCCTAAGATTTCCACTGCTTGGCGATTGCTGACACACTGCTTCCTGGAAATGTGTGCCGTCGCTTCGCAACCTACAGATGCAACGGCAGGTTCCATGACTTCAAGTGGAACGACATCGAGGCCATGGGTGCATGGAAGGGTCTTGCCAGCCTGGAGCGGAAATGACGGGATGGGCATCTTAGCCGAGGATCGCCGCCCTGGCTGGGACCGTTTCTGAGCTAGTCTCTGGCCTCTGCTTCTCTCTGGTTCGGATGTGGCGTGTTTGGTTTCGCAGATGTTTGTGGTTGTTGCTATGGCATGTTGGGAGGGTGAAGGGGCATGAAGTAGATATTTACCAGTACAAGCTTCACTGGGACTTCAGCTGCGCAATTTTCTAGGGCAGGGAGAGCGACGTGCCGCAGCATGAAGTCCAGCAGCTCCAAAACAACGATTCGCGAGTGCAGCTGCATGGTGGCCTTTTCTTTGAAGTTGGTTTTCTTGCTCGCACGCTCAAGTTCATAGCAGCCGCAGCATGCATGCGTGTTTTGTTTTCGGTGCAAAACTGCCGCTGCATCTTCGGCACAGTTAATGCTGCGTGCAGTTTCAATGTCCTACTAGGGAAATGGTCTGCTCGCATACTGCAACTGATGAATTGGACTCAGCAGACACACGGATTAGTGTCTCTAGGGTCAACCCGCTCGAAGCTGCCGCCTCTTGGTATTAGAGAATATCGTCGTCCGTCATGAGCTTCCGAGTGCTGCTCTTCGGGCCTGCGCGCGAGGTGGGGTTCAGTCTTTGCGAATTCCGAGATCGATTCTGTTGTGTCCTCATGTCGATGCCAGATGCATATTCCGAAGGAGCTCGGTTTGTCAGAAACAAAAGTCGAGGCCGGTCGGCAAGTAGTTGCGCGCTAAGTCTGGAGTAGACCTCTGCCGTTCCACTTCACGAGAAACGGCAACTAGGAAGCGCTTCTTAACAGGGGCTTGCAAGTCCTTTCAAGAGATTTCTCGGTCCAAAAGCAGAGGATGGGACGGATGGACCATGTACAGAGACTGAACCCCCACTTTGAACCACGAGGCCTTCTAGCTGTCTTGGCTCGGGGGCATGCCTGCAATTTGGTCCATTTTGGTCCCACGCAGCCGATGCTCCCCACAGCAAGGGAGCTAAGTTTGGGGAAATGCCGGGGTGGAGGCATGCTGGGCAGAGTGGGCTGGTGCATATCCTTTCTTCGACCAAGCCTTTAATCGACAAGATGGGAGAGTAACAAGCACAGTGCCACACGAATGCACAGTCTGTGCCAAGCTGACATGGCGTAAAGTTTGAGGGTCTGTTTGGATCGCCACGAGGCAGGAAGACAGGTTCATGGCTCCAGCAAACGTCGTTGCATTCCTTTGCCTTGTGTCAGAAGTCGGCAGGTTCAGCTGCCCGAAGGTGAAGCTGCGAAGGTTTGCCATGTCCGTGAGGCAGGAGTGCAGCACAGTGCACCGCACCTGCAGGCTTTACAAGACGTTTTTATTTGTTCATTTGCTGCTTAGGCAAGAGGCGTTCTAAAATTGTCGGACAAACCCAAACATCTCTGAGCCTTGCATGGCTGCCTCGCTCGTCTTTCCAGGCGCTGCTAGCCCAGCATCCTTCGCTGAAGGCGATGTTGGCCATGAGCAAATTCACGGTCAACCAGGCTGGAAGAAGCACACGCTGCCAGTTCGGATGTCTCTGTGGCTTGGGGATGCATTGCAGAAAAGCTGGCATCTGAGTCTGTCAAGCAGGGGTCGAGCCTCAGTCCGAAAATATCAATTTGCACTGTTTTGTGCAGGAAATGGTGGCATGCGAGTCCGACAGAGCTTCCGCCTCAATGCAATCTTCCGGCATCTCTGCTCGTCTCCCCTTGCTCGGCAAACCCCACCCGTCTCGTTCGACGTGTGTTTGCTTTCTTGGGCGCATGTGGTCATCTACGGAAATCCACCGTCGAGTTTCTATGCACCAGCCCAGGCTGTTCATGCTGGAGATGAAGTTGCGATGATTCCGCCCATTAGTGGTGGCTAAGGAGTGGCCACCGATAGATTAGGCTTGTGTGTATGTGTGCGTATGTGTGAGGCTCTGTACGTGGCCATGAGGTCGACATGAAAAGGAGCATGCCATGCGGAAGGTTCTGGGGCGCAGCATGTTCACTGCTTGCTGGCTCGAGGGGATTTTCTGAGTTGAGCGATCCAGTCGGCCCGACAGCAGATCCTAGCTTCCCACAAGCTTCGCCCTTTGACAGGCCTTAAGCCCAAAAAGGCCGCACGATCAAGAACGCTTCCTTTTCTATGTGTATATCGTGCAGTGCTGAGAAGCAAGCCCAAGCTGTCCGGCCAGGCAGTTTGTGCTATGACTTCGTTCGGATTGCACATCTGCAAAGGGAGCAGCAAACACATCGCAGAAACACAGGGCGTGTTATGCAGCCTCCACCATATGGAGTGCCGCCTCCGCCGCCCGGCCATTATGCTCCGCCAGGGCACGCTTACGGTGACGTGCTTGCATTCATTGCTGCGGTTGACAGCATGTGACACCACTGCTAACACCTCATCAGGGTACGATCCTTACGCACGGCCCGAGCTTCACGGCAGCCAGCCTGCCGGTTACTATGCCGGAGCAGGCCTGACATGTTCCATTGCACAAAGGCCTCTTGAAGCCGTATGGCAGTTAGTGCTGGAAGGTTATGGCCAGCATGATTATTACCGCCAGCAGAACGCACACGGCCACGAACGCCACGTAGAGTATGGCAGTGGCTTCAATGATGGAGAAAGCCGACCAAGAGATCATGGAGCCTCGGATGCAAGTGCCACACGATATTCTGCGGTGGATTGTCTTGCATCACTTTGCGCTGGATGCTCGTAGTGTTGGTTATGCTTCAATTTAGATTGGCTCCGGCAAAGGCAGCAATGCTGATCCAGGTGACCGGTTTGAAGGCCACTCCGAGAGTCGGCAGCGGAACTACCCTAATCACCAGGGCGACTGGGAAGGGAGGGGCGATCACCGGCACGACCGGCATGAACGTGGCGAACGTGACAGAGATCGTCGTGACAGGGGCCGCCGTGATAGGGACGATCTCGACAATTCTGCTGGGGATCATGGTCCCGTTCTGAGCTTTGTATGAAGTGTGTTTTCCGTTTCACGCGGCTTGATGGAGCCGCTGAATCAGGCTTCGATCGGCGAGCTGGGCATGGTCCCGCTCGTGATGATGACAGGATGGTTTCGTCAATCGGGGTTACCTTGGAGTGCTCTTGTAAGAAATACATAGAGGTACTGAAATACAATGCTCGCGCTGATCGGCCTCCCAAGCTGCTTAAGCTGCCTTGGCTCTGACCCGACCGTGTCACAGGAGAGACTCGGATAACAGAAGAGGCCATGAAGGCCACGACCACTCCTTGCTGTGCGAACGAGGACTCGCGGCGCTTTTCCTTGAACTTGCGTGAGGCCGCAGCGACCCGCGTCCTCCGAAAGGTGGTGGCAAGGGAGGCTTTTCGCGATTGTCAGTCGCGAGATCCGCGAGATTCTACTTGAAGTTTTTGAAGGCCGTGGCGGTGGCCAGGGAAGCCGGGAGCTGGCGCGGTCGAGGAGCCAGAGTTTGATTCCTCTTCTTCTGGTTACAGCTTCACCGTGGCGTTGTTGCAGATCCTGCCGTCTCCGTGCCTGTTCTCGGACTCCCTCTCTTGAAATCGGCTCGGCATGTCGTGGCTGGCTATCATGCATTTTGACGTTTCTGTTCTAATCTATTGTTAGGGATTGCGGGCACCCTCGACTCGAAACTGGGGAAGGGTTTACGCAGTTGTGTGTTTGTACTGACGACGGAATTATTCCTGGAGTAAGTCTTTTGACTTCTTGTGCCATTGCGTTTCATGTCTCCTGATCCAGATACACTTAGTCGTCGTTAGGTTTATGCCGTTACTAGCTGTTGGTGGCCTGTCTCGCTTCTTGCACTTACTACGTAACCTTAATCTCCGGTCTGTGCAGTAGACGACCTTGCATTGCCTATGGTACGAGCTGCTCGGTTGACGTGCTTGTCTTGAAAACCCTTGTCATCATCCGGGTGCTCTTTCTTCATGTGTCATTTACGAGGCTCGACAACATCTTACAAGATCAGCATTTTGCAATGCAAAAGATACAGCACTAGTGGAGGGCAAGCAAGGAGTGTAGGGAAAAGCACTGCCACATTGCTACATCATGCAAAACAGACAGAATCAGTACGGTGATATACGTCAGGCTTGGAGCGAACGCTCTTTTTTTATGCTTTCAATCTAATGGTGGTGGCGAGAATGCTTGATTTTCATCTGCAGATTGTTTAAACGGCAATGCCATGTTGCTGCACAACATATTTTGGTTCAGAGAAGTGGACTGTCAGCGCAGCGACGAACCACAAGTCGTTCGATATCACCTCAGCAGCTACCTTTGTGCATAAACGCCCAACAGAGCATCACCTGCTGGTCAACACCTGTTGTTGTGCTACTCAAAGTCATGGCAGAGAGCAGATTCGATGATCTCACGGCTTTAAGCGGTTCCAGCGATGGTTGATTTTGTGATCGTCTTATATAGTTCTTTATGGTTCCCACTCATGTTCATGATAAGATGTATGGTTTCAGGCTTGAAGAACAATGTCAGTGGCATTTCACTTGGGGTTTGAAGGATCAGTGCTAAATTTCGTTTCTTTGCCGGCTGTGCATCGGTGGCACTGGGCAAAACAGTCCATAAGTGTTCGAACCTTTCGGGATATGTCGGGGTTGTTGGGGCCAGGCGCGGGATCTGGCAGGATGGGGGCCCAAAACAGAAAGAATCGATATGCTGCTAGAGATGCATCAGATCTTAGTGAAATGGTATCATTCAATTATGCGTGTCATTAGTCTTCATCTTCTGCTTATTCATGTTCTAAGTGTTGCTTCCATTTTGGTTTTTAGTACTGGTCCGGAGTATGATTTGTTCTCGGCTTATGACTTTGCTATGAATTTTGAGACGACTTTGGAAAACATGTTGCGAATGAATGCTTTATGGATGCACCGATGCGTTTTCAGCCCGGGGCTGTCTGTATAACCGTACTGCCTCTAGCAAGGGCCTGAACGCCTTTAAGGTCCCAGACTCGCGGACCTAGACAGGCTCCATTACACATCAAAGGTACATGTCGCGTGAGGGCTGCATAAGGTGAGGGTACGCACTCTAACTCCCAAGCCAACTGCAGAATGACTTGTTTTGCGTTTTTGGATGCGGACTAATGCAAACGATGGAGCAAGATGGAGGCAATCAAGTGCACGAGATGTCACAGTAAGGGAACGTGACATACAAAATCAGGTCAACCTTGGCACAGATGGGTGACATTTGGCGCAAGTGTTAGAGAACACAAATGGTGCAAATGGTGGATAAAAAGCCTGAAGTTCAAGAAGCATGCCGTGATGCTCGGCAGTTGTCGGTTAATGGTAGTATGGTGTCATGTTGAAAGAGAGCGGGGGCTGCGTATCCATCAAGCTGCAGTGCCGTCATGCAATTATAACTCGCCCAGTGCCCCTGGTGTTCTGCTACTTGTCGGATCTTGCAACCGTTCGCCCCCAGCATGCACATGAGTTTGATGATCCAGCTGTACAGCGCAACCCAACTCCAAGAGCCGAACTCCATGTCGTTCACATGAAGGACCCAGTGGCTCGAACTTTCTAGGAACATGGATGGTGCTTTTGGTGGAGGAGCCGCAGCCGAAGGCGTTCGAGTTCGGGCTCCTCTGCGTCTCCACAAGAGAAGAAGCGCATGCGTCCCACGGCTGTGGTTTGTGCCTTCTGTGCTCTGCTGCTCTGCGTGATCTTGTTGGAAACATTGGGCTCGTAGAAAAGGTCGGAGGTTGCAGGCTCGGAAGTACGCGCTGCACCTGCTCCGGAATTTCCAGGTAAGGCCGCAGGCTTCGACAGTGTCACGAAGCCTCGCGAGACTGGAAAGGTCCCCACCGAGGTGACTTCGACGAATTCGACGAATGTAACTGTCGATCTTTAAAAGATCGCTCGCATCATTTTCGCTTTGCTTGCGCAAGGCGGCTCCGCAGAGAGGTCTCGCTTTGGCCCCAGGCCGCAAGGCGAGAAGACGCTTGTTTTGTTTTCTGCCGTTTCCTTCCGGCTGCTTGTAGCTCAATCTGTTCTCCATCCTCTGTTGCATGATCGTCAGACCACGGTGTCACACTCGAACTTCTGCAGCATGGGTAGGCGGACGTTCACGGCCTGAAGGGTGCTTCACAGTACAACGGCAGCAGACCTACTCAGTGCTTTTTGCATTCTGTGTTTTCCCAGTTGCAAATGCGGGACTGGGGGCCAGGTTCTGCTTTGCCTAAAGTTTTCCTGGACACCAACAGGCTGCGAAGGCATCGTCATCGAAGGGCCAAACGACAAAGGACGCTGGGAAGTGCAGGCTCCCCTTGCTGAAGTGACGTGCTGGGCTTTCTTTCTACTCTGCCTTCGTAAGGACACCTGCGCACGCATACTGTGCAGGTGGACTACCAATGCGAAACAAAAACGTGTGGGGCTTGGCAAGCAATGAGCTGGTGCTGTGACCTTGGTAGAAAGATGCTTGGTCACTCGAATATTTTCCACCGCAACCGTTGTGGCTCACGAACTTGGAGCTTTCGTCTGAGCGCGAGGCGAGCCAACCGTTTAGGCAAGAAGACAGCAAAGCAGCTGCTGAAGCTTGGAGGCTTGAGGCTTTCCGTCTCGCCAGGTATTTGTTTCATGCCAAGCGGTGGAAAAGCTTCCCCTGACACTCGCAAACTCCCGCATACCACCATTTTCCAACATCCCAACCTATACAAGTGCCTCACCCGAATGGCGACGCCGACGCGGCGAGTCTTCGGTTCGTTCTACACCTCCAACGTGCTGGACTTGCTGAGGCCGTAGGACGATGTCCCAATCCATTTACATGGACCTTCGCGGCTCATGTGTGCCCAGGCAGCCACGGGGCCAATTCCAGCCACCGACAAGGTCAAAAAGCCTCGCTGCCTTGTGGTTTTCGTGCTCTTTGCTTTGTAGCGTCGCATGGGAGGCCCTTCCCACTGCCGTCCTCAGACCCGGGCAGCCTGGGCCTTGCACCGAGCGGCCGGTCCTGAGGCGCTCCCTCCCTGCCTCTCTGCCTCTCTGCCTCTCTCTCGGAAAGGGACAGGGAGAGAGAGAGGGAGAGGTTCAGAAAGGGGCCAGCAGCACTTTATTGGCACACGGTTGTGGAGGCCCCAGTGGCCACTTCGGTGCAGAAGCACGCAAGCACTTCTGCCTCGAGGACGTTCCGCTTTCAAACAGAGCACGCCATCAACTCGCATGAACTCATGTTGTCTGTACCCTCACCGCGACGGGAGGATGGCTTCACGTTTCTGAACCATGGCGCCTTTGGCGCCACTCTGAAAAGCAGTTTGGAAAGCAAGCGGCGGTGGGCCGAGCACATCGAGACACAGCCCGTCCGCTTTTTGGATCGAGCCTCGCTGACAACCTTCCGTGAGGCCTGTTTGGCCCGTAGCCGCCGTAGCCCAATCGTCCGATACGTGCGGACTCCTTGCCAAGGAGAACTTTTTCCCTGGATGGTCAGCGTGACCCGCAGCTTGAGCCAGGCGCCTGAGTTCCGGCAAGTTTCGCGACCAGACTGGAGTCTAGCCGAGCCACAGCCAGGTGCTCTCCGTACCTGCAGAAGACCTGCTGCCAGCACTTTGGCAGCTGCAGTTTTGGGAGCAACGTGCACGGAGCAAGTTGGCCAGTTAAGTCCGCCGGCACTGAACGTCGTAAACGAACTTAAGTTGTCCACCTTGAGTGAATTCATCTAGCGACGAGAATCAAGAAACTTGAGCAGACTCCGCGATAGGATGCCATGGCGTGCTCAGGTCCCCAGTGCCACGCTGGGAACGAACGCAGTCCTCAGATCCTGGCAGCGGAAGAGAAAGCCCGATGATTCGCAGCGCCTCTTGGCTGAGATGTCAATCTCACGTGCCCTCCCCAGGAGTTTCTAGATTCTTGAGAGATTCTAAATCCGAGACCATGGAGAGTCCTCTTGGTCAGGAGCGGTTATCCTTTCGGTGGCTTATGGCTCTACCAAGAAGCTTCTCAAGAGGATGTCCGAGGAGTCTGGCTTCCAGGCCACTACTCCTTCCTTCCTAGAGCTGACCGGCGGTAGCGAGAGTCTTTGCATCCAACACTCGTTCTCGCTCAGGTTGAAGAAGCCACCATCGATTTTCCCTTGGCTGGAGACGCGGAGGAGATGGCACGACGTCATACGACGGGGAAGTCCAAAACCATCAGAAGGGGTGCGTTGGATTTGCTGGAGGACTGGCTAAGTTCGGGGATGAATATGGACCGCCTCCCAGCCCAAACGGGTTTCAACTTTGCTTGGGTCTTGATAACTTGACGGATGAGTTCCACTTATGCAGTGAAGATGGTAACTTACTGGACAGCTGAACTTTCAACTGCTGACCTCAACATGGCCTCATCCCGCCTTGATTTGCCAAGGGCTGCTTCTATGATGTGTTTCTGGTACAAGTATCTTGTGAGGCCCGAGTCAGGCATGAGGCACCAACGGTGCTCAAACACTTTCTTACACTGGAGCCTTCGGAGCGATGCCGACGCCAGGAGCGGATCCTCGCTTCTCTGGAGGGCTGCCTGCAGCCCAACACATCTCTCGTTATTCTGGATGCGATTCCCTCCAATGCTCCCTTCGTGCTTTGGCTCAGGCATGCAAGGCTCAAGCGGGAAACTGTGGTTCCTGTCGTCAGACACGCGGGAGCTAAGGTGCTGCCACTCCGAGAGGCCGTGGCGCTCTGCCGTGCTAAAGCTCCCGAGGTGCGCAGTCTGTGCAGTTACCGTCTGGACTTGGTGTCAGAGGCTCCGTTGATCGGCCGCATCCAATGATTGAGGCGTTCGTCATGGTCGATGCAGCGCATGGACTCTTCAGCACCTGAGCTGCACCAGAACAGCTTAGGAGCCAAGTCCGGTTCTTGGGAGCCTTGCTTTGAGGCTTACCTCTGAAGCTCACGGGTCCCTCTGCGGTGCCCGTGGACGCCCTGGTGACCAACTGCTGGGTACTTGGTGTAGTCATGGCTCGGTGACACCAAGACCACGCGACACGCATGACATCAGCGCGAGGTCACAAATGGCTCTGTGGACCGAAGGGCTCCGCGGTGCTTTATGTCGCTCCCGAACACCAGCAGTGGGTGGATCCCTTGGTCATCTCACACGGATACGGGCTTCCTGACAGATTGGATCCGAGGGTTTGTGGTTGTTCATCACTGTCCGTACATCCCGTGCATCTGGAGTTTGGTGCAGGTCAGACTTCCCAAGTGGATTCTACTGGCCTGGTCTATCAGATTTCACATCGTGGTTGGCTCTGGATGAAGTGTTGGCCTTCTGGGACTTAGCAGCTCGGTTGCACCGGTCGCCCATGCTCCCTTGTCCTGGTTGCTACATTATTCGGACCTAAGGTTGGGTTGGAGCCCGCAAGAATCTATGGAAATTACCTGGTCATGGATGCCGTGACTTGGCTTCGCTTGAGTGAGTGGTGGTCTTCCAGGAGTGAGTCTGCAAGGCCACGATGCTGGCTGAATCGTGGGACACTTCCTTGGGCATCCCGGACCGCTGACTGATGTAGAGTTGATGTAATCTTCAACAGTAAACTGCGGCTGAAACTCCTTTGCAGGAGGAGCTGCTTGGACCGATGGCTCTTGTGGCATTGCCGCCATTCAAGGCGCTGCAAGATCGCAGGCAGTGTCTGGGATGCGGACATGGAAGGCTAATGCAACGGTATGCAGTTTCGCTTGGGCTTGATGTGGATGTGCACGGGGCGTACTCACATCGCCGTAAGGTACACGTACGATGATGCTGAAGCGGTGCAGAATGCCTTGTTCCAGCAGAGGATTGAAGTTCCAGTCAAGGTGCTATCTGGGAATTTATACGTTCGTTTCCTGGCGGCACTTCGCAAACAGCCTGCCGTCACTCGCTGTACAAGAGTCTTCGGGTGTCTGCAGGCATATCTGCTCACATCTACAACCACATCGAGGATGGCCGCCCTGCAAGTGAATTGCATCACAACCAGCACACTTCGGGGTAACGTTGGAAAGCCATGTGGGCATCTCGCGGAGGAGTACGAGATGCTGCGAGATGCCGTCCTGGAACTTCAGCACTTGGACCAGCTGTAAGAATCTTCTCACTTTGCATTGGGCATGTCAGCGTGTCCAATGCACACAAGCACCCAGCCGACAACGTTTTAAATGTTTCCGTGCTTCGGGTGCAATTGTATAGTATTGACACGAGCAAGAAAGGAGGAAGGGCGTGAGATGGCACGGGTGATGCCTCGCTCCGCTTCCTTGCCGCCGCTTGAATTCCGAAGCGGCCGGCTTTGCAAAGGTCACGGAAGTGAGGCTGAGAAGATTCGTCACACTCCTTCCGCCCGTCCTTGCCAGTGCCAATCGCCGATGTTCTCAGGATGAGCAAAGGCCCTCATCAGCGAGTCCCATGAAAATGACTCCGAAGACTTCCGGTCCTTTAGAGCTTGACGCGGCCATGTTCGACGTTAGCCTGTCAGCTGAGGCTTTCCCTCCTAGAAAGCAACCTGCAACCCAAGCCTTCCTGCGGCCGGGCCCCAAGCAGCAACACGCACGAAAGCCCTGAGCCAATGAAGATTCGATGAGGCTGGGAGCTCGTCATCGCACCGATTGCACTAGGCCTTTGAGGGAGAAATGCTGTGGCTTCAACTGACACGAGTGCGGTGGCAGGCATTAAGGAGACGGATGTCTCCCAAGCCCTGTCCGTGCGGAAAGCTCAGTTTTCGTATCTCCAAGTAAAGTATCAGGAGGGCGCCGGATTCTGGGCTCATCGCGAAACCCTAACCCTATATGTCACAGCTCAGACAGATCTGAGTCTCGCAAGTGCCCAGGCATGGGAGGGTGCGACATGTAAAGATGACGGATCCTCCGGCCTGGGTCTCGATTTCCTGCACTGATTCTGAGTGGATGCGTGAGCACTGTCTGTTGTCCTAGTAGCAATGATGCCTCATCATGCATAAGCCACTCCGAGAACCTTCATGCAGCTGACCTGATATCCAAAATGCAGCGGTTCTTTCACCTTCCAACGATTTTGCAAAGCAGTCATTGTTCGAACCGGCCTCAATACCATGGTGCGGCTCGTGGGGCTCACTGGGCCAATCGCCTGCGGCAAGTCTACTGTGAGCGCGCTGCTCGCGGACGGAGGAAGGGGCTGTCCGTTTGTCCTTGGTTCAGATAGCTGTTGTGGGTGTCCAGAGTCCGCTGTGCAATAACCATGCTGCTGTTGTGTACAAGCGTGACCTGGAATCTGAAAGGCTGGCCTGTCGTCGATGCTGACAAGATTGCACATGAACTCCTCGCGGACACTTCAGGTGCCACGCATCAGCCGAATCTGCACAGGTGTGTGTGTGTGTGTATGTGTGTGTGGGTGCTTGGCTGTTTAGGGTTTAACACTCCTACTCGCTCTAGGCTTGGTGTCTTAAAGGCCGTCAGTCGCATATGCATCGACAGGTGGGCATGCATGTGTCTGATGGTGTTTCCTACAAGCATGTCTGTGTCATTACTTAGTTTCGTGGTGTAGAGATAGATTTATCTATGCGGCAGTTTAGTTACCTGAAGATACATCTGCTTCCTGTGTGTATTTATGTATGATGTATGATGTATATATATATATATTATATATATATATATCCACATATGTCTATATCCATCAATTTCAAAGAGGGAGAGAGAGAGAGAGAGAGTATGTGTGTGTACATCTGTATACACAAATCATACGCACACTAGAGCAAGTGTACATGTGCATTTGTTGTGCTGTCTTCAGCGTTAATTTCCAGTCGCACTCAGGCCATGGCTTCCAGAACCAAAACACAGATGGGTTTGGCTTTATTTGCGCGCAGTGTGAGCTGTTCGAACGCTTGTCGTGAGTGTTGGAAGCTGTGTGGGTCAAGTTCATAGAGCCGTTCGCTTGCTTATTCTTGCCATTACTGTTTGCGGTCCTGGCGCCCGGCACGTGATTTAGTCATCGATCACATGTTCAACCAGGATGCGGCCCTTCAAAAGAGAACACGAACACTGTCTTGTTGGCACGTGAAAGTCTCTGCTTGTGTGTTACTGGTCGTGCGTGAGAGTCTGTGTGTCGGTGTGCCTGTGGGGTTGTGCGTCTGTGTGTCTGTGTGTCTGTCTGTCTGGCTGGCTGGCTGTCTGTCTGTGTGTCTGTCTGTGTCTGTCCGTGTGTCTGTCCTTGTGTCTGTCCGTGTGTCTGTGTGTCTGTCTGCCTGTCTGTCTGCCTGTCTCTGTCTGTCTGTCTGGCTGGCTGTCTGGCTGGCTGGCTGGCTGGGCTGGCTGTCTTGTGTCTGTCCTGTGTGTCTGTCTGTGTGTCTGTCTGCCTGTCTGTCTGCCTGTCTGTCTGCCTGTCTGCCTGTCTGCCTGTCTGCCTGCCTGCCTGTCTGGCTGGCTGGCTGTCTGTCTGTCTTTCTGGCTGGCTGGCTGTCTGTCTGTCTGGCTGTCTGTCTGTGTGTCTGTCTGTGTGTCTGTCTGTGTGTCTGTCTGTGTGTCTGTCTGCGTGTCTGCCTGTGTGTCTGCCTGTGTGTCTGTCTGTGTGTCTGTCTGTGTGTCTGTCTGTGTGTCTGTGTCTCTGTGTCTCTGTGTCTCTGTGTCTCTGTCTCGCTGTCTCGCTGTCTCGTTGTCTCGCTGACACCGTTCAAGGGACCCAAATCATGATCTTGAGGGCATGTGCACTTGACGGTCATATCAAAGGTAGCATGCAGGAGAGCATGCACACCTGACACGGCTGCGTGTTTTTATCTCCTCCCCATTATGCGCTCAGTCTCAGTGCACGTAGACACATGAGACCATGTGCACGTGACGTGACAAAAGTCTACTCGCTGCACTAGCATGTACTGCAGTAGAGGTCTGATGGTTGCAGTAAACTGCTATTGCGTTTGAAGAGCACAAGTGTCTAGTTTGCGCTCCATCGCAGGGTTATGCTTGTGTGCAAGTGTGTAGTGTTCTCGTTCATGTCACGTCCCATTCTTGATGCAAGGGGCCGGAAGGGCTCTGTGGGAGCCTGCCCAATGAAGCTTTCCTCCACACCACGCATCCGCCCTGGGCCCCGGTGTGCTCAGCCGAAAATTACATTTCATCTTCGTTCACCTTTCATTTCATGTTCGTGCTGCGTCATTCCTTGGCGTTTGATGTACCGGTGCTGTACGGATCATCGCATTCAGGAGTGTATGCCATTCCTTTTGTTTTGCATGCTCGGAAATCTTCATCTCATCTTCGTCAACTCAATCATCACCAACATCATCAAGCTATCGCATTCAACCTTGGAAAAAGCATGTGCAACCAAAACTTGCCACTAGTGGCCGCGGTACGAGCAGTTTCACAGCAAGAAGCTGGGCAGTAATGGAGTTTGTCGGATCCCTGCCAGCGAACACGTGCGCATGATGCATTGGTAGAGACGTCTTCGCGCCTACCTCTTCCGCTAATCAGGCAGGTTCTGTTGTCAAGTTGAGTTTCATGCACCCTTACCAGTTTCGATGACCACCAGTTTCTGGTGCGGGGTCGAAGACAACAAACTTGTCTTCCAAGCGGGTGCTCGCTTTAGAAGTGGGTTCAGGTGGTGGCACCGAAAGAATATACGTACCATGCATTACCATAAATTTCGCCATCGACATGTGTACAAAAAGCATGTGCGCATGATATGCCCCAAACATCCCCAAACCACAGACCGGACCCCCCCCCACCAAGGCAGAATTCACAAGCGAGTCGTCTCTGAGTTTGGGACGACGGTGTTGGATTCTGACGGTGTCATTGACCGGGAAAAGCTGGGCAAGGTGATTTTTTCAGACCCCGCCAAGCGGAGGAAACTCGACAAGGTGCCATCTTTGTGTGCGTCGCCTCGACAGCTTCCTGGGCTTTTGCCCCCTTTCGAGGCTACGCACGGACCCATCTTGACGACCATCGTGAAACGGACCCTGTGGCTCATGCTACAAGGCCGAAGACGCCGGGGGGGGAGTCGGACAGCAAGTCTTGGCAGACACCCCCAGGTCACCGGACCATCGTCTTGGACGTGCCGTTGCTCCTCAAGTTCCCGGTCCTGCGCCGCCTTTGCCTCTCTGCAGTCCTTGTGGTGCTGGTGTTGCTTGGGCGCAAAATAGATGATGTTTTTAGTCACAGGTAGCCTTGCCGACCCAAAGCACTCGCATGTGTATGCAGCTTGCCGCCTGGGTAGCTGCAGGAATCAGTACAGAGGTAGAGATCCCGGCAGCGAGGTGTAAGCCGTGGGAACCACCTCGTGTCGGGATGTGCGATCGATTTCCCGTAGAGCACCGAGGTCCCCGGAGACGCAGCTGACACGCCTGATGGCACGGAATGACCTCACTGAGGATGAGGCTACACATGTTTATGAAGAAGTCCTAACATCATCCGCCGTCTTCCTCAGAAGTTTACTCGGGCAGGCATGAGATCTGGTTGAGCGCAGGCCCGACGAAAGATCGATTCGCAGCTCTCTGGGGAGGCCCAGCGCAAGCTGGCAGACTTCGTCATCGAGAATAACGGCGCCTCTCCAGAACAGAGGGTTGAGTGTGCTGCTGCTTTAGGGCAGCGGGTATCTCACAATCCATGCAATCCGCGCATCAGTTCAGTCCCAAGTTGCCTACGCTCAGTTTGTTGTTTCGCATGTTCAAGGAAGTCTCGAGGAACTACGCCGAAGTGTAGCCGACCTCCAGCACCAGGCGGGAGCAGGATCTCTTTTTGTAACATTCTTTGTGCGATCACTTTTGTTTCTCCTATAAAGGCGCCTCAAGGATGGTCCGCAGCGTTGGTGGCGGAAGCCATCGCCGGAGCCGCCGCCCTCTGCGCTTTGGCGTCCCATGCAGCGACGCACGCGAGCCTCCTCCCGCGATCCTCCCTGTAACGCAAAAAAGAGCGAGTGGAGGCCGTGCCCGTTCTGCCGGGGAGCGTTGTGGTTTCTTGCAAAGCTCATCTTCCCAGGGCGTCTGTCTGGCACAGATGACCTTGAAAGATGAGGCAGAGGCCACACTGCTATTCCTCCTGGCTTCTTCGAAGCAATTGCAAAGTGCCAGGCTGCTCTGCAAAATTTGCGACGCTTGGAAATCAAGGGCACGCAGGTTTCGCTTTGCCGGCACGCTTAGAGGTTTTTGAGTTTGAGCTTTGGCCATCGTCAGAGTAGCCATGCTTGCAGGGTGGACTGGAGCACCATGGCCAAAACGGAGATGGGTACCCAGCTTGGCTCTGGTGACTCCATGCAGGCATAGAGGCGGATGCGGAGGTCGTGCTTCGTTTGTGCTGAAGTCAGGTCTCTGCAACAAGCGCCACCAGAAGCCCCCGGCGGATGATTTGCCTCCAAGGAGGGAGGGAGGGAGAGTCAGAGATGGCGGAGGGAGACGGACCTTACGGTCTCGCCGGTCTCGGTCTGGTGGATGGGTCGAAGGAGTTTCAAAGAAAGCACAGCGCCGGCGCAGGAGTCGAAGACTCAGAGATATTTTGAATCGAGGGCGATGACATGCTCTGATCAAATTGGTAGATCAATTGCAGAGAGGTTTGGCTTCCAAATGGGGCAGGCTCAACCGGCAAACACTCTGTCTCAACAGCCAGATTCTTTTCGTCAGTCGAGCCTTTCCATTTCAATGCAAGTCCACTGCCAGGCCGTGCTGATTTCGAACCTGAAAGGGGCACCTCAGGCCTGCGGCTGCCTGGGTTTCAGCACACCGCGGTGTCGTAGTTGGGCTCAGCTCGTGCCGCCGTGCAGTTCAACGGATGCACCGCTGCTGTGGTCGGCTTCCGCTCTGACCGAGTGGAAGTGGAAGTGGAGGCCAGTGGAGGCTTTCAGTGCTGCTCTGAGTGAGCTGTCATCCGGTCCCTGTCCCGCAGGCGGAGGGGACAAAGAAGACCCTGGCCTTGAAGCCCGAGAATCTCAGCGCAGGCAAGGCGGCAGTGGTAATGGCTCTGCTGATCTGCCTCCATCGCCTCCACTTTGTGGGAGCACGTCGTCGGCAGGCCAGGCTGAGCCCCCGAAGCCGGAGGCACAGGCGCACCCCGCGATCGGCTCTCGGATCTCTCACTGCTCCAAGCTCACTTCGGGTGAGGCAGCCGAGCCACCTGCCGAGAAGGCCTGTCTTGGCATGGGCTGCATGCGGCATTCGGCGGATTTCCGCGGTGTCTGCGATGCTCCGAGTCGGCTGCCTATGTTCTCACCTTGGGCCGTGGAAAGGCTCCGGAGCCGCGACGCCGCCGCGGGAAGTGGGAGGAGCAGGGCCTTCAGCATCTAAACATATCCAATCCTTCCTCGTGCCAGCCTTCGGTGTGTATGTGTGTGTAGCCTCATGCAGTCGCATTCGGCTGCGACGTGTGACTCAGGAACAGCGGCGGTTTCGTCGTGAACCAAGCCAAGAAAGGCCGGACTTCAAGGGCACACTCAACCCAAAGATGAGCTCTCGATAGCTCTCATGGAGCTATTTTTAGGGTTTTTCGGATGCTCTGTTTCGGCAGAAACTTCGGAGGCCCAGCGTGCCCAAAGTTGCCGCCCCTGGCTGACTTGGAAGCAATGCCTGTCGGGTGCCCAGGGCATCACATGCACATTGCCTGGACGTCAGCCCGTGGTGGATCCCAAGGTGAAAGAGCTTAAGCAAGTGCTCGTGGCAGCCTCCCCGGACCCAGGATCAGACATCATGGAAGCTCGTGCTACACATGCCGAGGCTCATGCCGTTGACATCACAGGCTGCTTGCATCTCGGAAGAACACCCCGCCGCCTTTGTTTGGCCTTCAGCCTTCGCTTGCGCCGCCGCATCGAGGCCTGGAGAGAGCCGAGTTTCTGGCCAAGGCCCGGGCTCGCGGTCGGGGGGAAAAGAGCCTCGAAGAGTGGCCTTGGCCCTGCGCCGAGGCCAGAGAAGTTTCAGAACAAAGCGCCGAGTGACGCCTGGAGGACAAGTGCAGTGGCTATCGAAGGTTTGGGCAAGGAAAAGGTTGACTTCAGCGGGCTTTTTGGAGCTACATGCTTCATTTGTTGTGCATCTGTCGCTTCCAAGAGTCAGGATGGACTCTGCAGCGGCATCTGGAAGGTGTTTCACCATGCGTTGCAAATGCGGGATCCAACAATCTATCCTGGTACAGTCGACATCCCAAGCCGCATGGCCAGTGAAATCAATGCCGTAGTAATTATCATAGGAATCATGGAGTGTCCAACATCAAGCAGTGCACTGGAGAGTCCGGCGCCTAAGAGCAAAACAAGATTCACAGTGTGTCTTGAGCCCTTGGCCATGTTGAAGCTCCAGCGGAACGTCGCGCCGAGATGTAAGAGGTTCACAGCGACAGGTGGATCTGTAGGTGGTTCAGCTCCCCTTGGAGCCTTGATGCATCGCCATGCAGGGTGCCGAAGCAGCGTCCGCGGTTTGGGCAAGTGCTGCATGGTGGCTAATGCTGATAGCTGTGAGCTTGGCGTGCCTTGTGCTGATCCGGAAGGCATTCGTCGAAAAAGGTCTCGATGGCCCATGTGTAAAGCATGACATGAGAAGGCATGTTTCACAGTAGAGGCTTGGTCCTACGGGGCCCTTTTCAGCAGCGCTAGATGTTTCTGATCCTGAAGGTTCTGCTTAGCAATCCTCTCGGGAGCATCCGGCATTGGTACGAAGCCAGCAGCCGGCAGAAAGGTCTCTGCAAGTCTGCAGCCGTCGTTCCAGAAGGAGGCGATGCATCCCCGTCGTGGGTGGACGACATGGTATGCGCTGAGCTGCAGGAGGTTTATGCGGGCATGGTCAGGACCAGCTTCGTGTATATTGTCGGACCCTTTTGCTTCCTCACAGTAGTGCATTCGGTCCTCCGTGATGATATGGCCTTTCCCGACTTGCGCCTGGTCTCGGAGAGAGCATCATTTCGGTTTCGCTTTGCCTCTACGAAGTTGCAAGGAAGCTGTCTGGCGATAAGTAGCTGAGGCGCTTGAACTCTAACATGCTTCCGCTCGTGGTGGCCACTCTCCTGGCGGTCTGCAACCCCCCGGAATCTTCAGCTGCACCTTAGAGTGAAGTGCACCGAAGCATAGGTCAATGTGGTCTTTCAAGCATATCGAAAAACGAGGCACGAAGAACGCGACTGGGACTCTGGCTTCTGCTCGCTTTGTGGTTTGCCTCGATGCTCGCCGTGACCCTGCAGCACATTGGTCTGTGAGACAACTTTCGAACAGGGAGCCGATTTAATTTACCCAGGCACACCTGTTCCTCTCGGAATGGCGCCTTCACGAACAAGTCTGGTTGAATCACATGTTCTTCGTCACGGTTGTCTCCGAAGTGCTACAGAAGCTTGGCAGTATGTTTGAGAGCATTGCGCACGGTGTCAGATCTTGGGTTGGAGAGAAGAGCTGAGCATGTACTGGAGGATGCCACCGCTGGTGATCTGGGCCAACACTATTCTTCACTCTGCATTCTTTGTAGCTTTGACTGTGGCCAATGACTATCCTAGCGATTCGCCATCACTCGAGCTGCAGCTGCTAATGGTGATTGTTAGACTTGCCTGTGGGAATCTCGGCTTGTATTGACAGCCGTCAGCTCCGGTCCGATTCTCTTCGGCGCCTGAGGGTTTCGAAAGGTCGTCAGGGCGCTAGGCCTCCATTGAGCGTTGCCGTAGCTTTGCCATTTTGCCAGTGCTAAGAAGGGATCTTGTAACAGAGACCTGTGTGAAACTCGCGTCCGACCAGTCGCTCAAGGCACTACACCCAGCTGGTGTCCAAGGCAGTTGAAGGCTGCGCGCGTGCGGATGTGCTGGCTCAGGCGCGTGCTGAATTCTCGGGCTTCATCCGAGCTTTCGAGATTTTAAGGAGGGTACTGTAGCCTTTTATAGTTGGCCCTGGCTGAGATTCTGTTTTTTGCAGAGAGCTCCCGCTGAAGGATGCTTCGAAGCTGGCGGCCTTGAGTCGCTCTGCCGCTGAACAGGCGCTCTGGACTCTCCCTTTTGTGCTCCCTTAGTGCCGGGGACAAGAGCTTGTTGCTTGGAGGCTCTCGTGGAAGCAGACGAGGAGGCCACTCGTGCTCGCACGGCCCAGGTGGAGTTGTCCCTGGCAGAGGACGGAGACATTTTTTTTTGGGCGAAGCTCTCAAGACTTGTCTGAGTCGCGATCCGCATAGCGGCATGACACGCAGGCTGAGGCGAGGGCCGTGGAGTCTGTGCGAAGTGCGCAGCTCCACCTCCTGAAAGTCATGTGCGACGCCGTGATAGAGGTGGACGCCGACATGCGGATCATTGAGCCAGGAAAGCTGGGATTGATGCTCTACCAAAGCAGCCACCGCAACCTCGCTGGAACCAGGTTCGTGGACCTGCTCATCCCGAAAGAAGTGGTCCTTGGAGCTTCAAGTCACGGTCTCTTTTTTATGCTTTGTTCCCCAACAGCTTTAGCTTTGAGGTCTTCAGCCCTTTAAGCTTCGGACCAGATCGGAGAGGGCCTTCCGGAGCCCGTTCCAACCGGTTCAGAAGCAGGTTCCGGATCAGGTTCCGGAACGTGTGCCCGGGTTCCGGAGCGGGTTGCGGCCAGTTCCTTGCGGAGCGGGTTCCGAGCAGGTTCGGGAGCGGGTTCCGAAGTGCCAGTTCCGGAGCGGGTTCCTGAGCGGGTTCCCGAAGCGGGTTCCGGAAGCGGGTTCGAGCGGGTTCCGGAACGGGCCAAGTTCCGGAGCGGGTTTCCGGAGCAGGTTCCGGAGCGCGGGTTGCGGCTAGAGCGGGTGCCGGGCGCGGGTTCCGGGAGCGGGTTCCGGAGCCGGTTCTGTTGAGGTACTTTTTCTTGCTATTTATTAGAACATAGGTAGCTAGCATACTCATTGTCAAGTAAAGCAACTTTTACTAGTAGTTAGTGGAAGTTATAAGTTACTTATCAAGTTCGCTAAGATATATCTTGGGACATGTGATAACATGTTTTAGGTGACGGCGCCCCTAGGGTGCCGAGGCTGCTTTCGTGACCTTTTTCGTAACTTCCAGTGAGACGCCGA